ACCTTCAAAGCAACTTTGCAGGATGAATTCAGTTAGGGAGAGGTGGGGGAGAGACCTTGGAGAGGGGTCTTAGATCTCAGCTCGGGCCCTGGAGGGGGAGGTACCCTGGGATAGCCTGGTGAAAAAAGACAGAAGTTCAAGGTAGACCACAAGCAGGATGCCAAGGTGTGGAATGAGATGGGACCAGACCAAAGAGGATGGTCATCTCATAGCCTCCTAGGGTTACTAGGACACTCTTTTCTGCTCGATAAAAATCAGTGCTGTTTCTACCTGCTGAAAGAGTTTGAGTACTGTTATTGGTGTTAGCTAGGCGGCTCAGTGGTTGGAGTGTTGGATTTGGACTCAGGAAGACTCATCTTCCTGAGTCCAAATCTGGCCTCAGACACTCCCTAGCTGTGTGACCCTGGCCAAGTCACTTAACCCTGTTTGCCTCAGTTTCCTCATCTGTAAAATGAGCTGGAGAAGGAAATGGCAAACCACTCCGGTGTCTTTGCCAAGAAAACCCCAAATGAGGTCATGACTGAAGATACTAAAACCCTGCCAAGATTTTGCAATATTGTTTCAAGCCTCTGAGATGAATCTGCATTTTCATGAAGATGAAGGCTGAAATGTAAGTCCGCAGAAAACCTAAAACATTTGTAATCTTATGGTTGAAAAAAGAATTGTAATATTTCCTTGTAACTTCATTGCTGTTCAGTTGCGTTCAACTCTTTGTGACCCCATTTGGGGTTTTTTTTTTAGCAAAGATACTATGGCATTTTGCCATTTTCTCCTCTAGCCCATTTTACAGATGGTGCAAACAGAGTTACGTGATTTGCCCAGAATCATACAGCTAGTAAGTGTCTGAGGCTGGATTTGAACTCAGGTCTTCCAGACTCCAGGCTCAGAGCTCTATTCACTCCACCATGTATAGGCCTATTTATCCTCTCCTTCCAGCAGGCTTTTAGAGAGTTAGGGGGACCTACATGTAGGTTTGCTTAGTGATTAAAGAGCAGGCCTTGGAGTCAGAAAGACTTGAATCTAAGTTCTGCCTCTGACACTCATGAGCTTTGTGACCCTGAGTTTACCTTCTTTGTGCTCTCATAGCTCCCTGTTATTCTAAATGTTCTTCACTGGCAGAGAGAGACAGAGACAGAGACAGAGACAGAGAGACACAGAGACACACAGAGAGAGACACACACACACACACACACAGAGAGAGACAGAGACAGAGACAGAGACAGAGAGACAGAGAGACACACACACACACATACACAGAGAGAGAGAGACAGAGACAGAGAGACACAGAGACACACAGAGAGAGAGAGACACACACACACAGAGAGAGAGAGAGAGAGAGAGAGAGAGAGAGAGAGAGAGGAGTTTCCATATCAGGAGTTCCTGACCTACACTGATAAAATCATAGGTGTAGATAGGAAAGAAAAAAGCCAAACACTAAAGCTATTTCTGGCGAGCTAGGACTGGCATGAGCTGCTGCTGAAGGAGAGGCTTGCAGGGGAAACTGAAGATTTCAGAAAGGATGCTGGGCATGTAGTCATAACATGTGCAAGGTCAGTGTGCCGGGGTTCAGTGCCCACAAGGGGAGTTCAGAGGAAGCTGCCCACAGTGATCAATCAGTCAACATTTAAGGAGCACCTACTGTGTGCTGCTCCTTGGGCTAGGTGCTGGGGACGTCTGAGTTTGGATAAAACACGGCCTCTGTCCCCACGGAGCTCACAGGCCTGTAGGGAGAGGAGATGCGGGTGGCCCCCTATAATGGAATCGTCCTGGAGAAGTTAACTTGATCTATGTAAAAGAATGGGCTGGTCAGCGCCATAGCTTCATCTACTGAAGGCCCAGAAAAGAAGGTTTTTACTACCTAAGTCCTTGGCACTGACAAAATGGTTCAACCTCAGAAACTGATATGATTTTATCCTTGGAAATGGCATCAAAGAAGAGGCTGTATCATCTGCCTTGCAGCTCCAACCTTCCATATTTGATGTCATACCCATGAGAAAGAGAGCCTCTTGAGGGCAGGGACTGCCTGATTTGTATCTCCAGTCATCAGCACAGTGCTCTGTACACAGTAAGCACTTATTAAATGCTTCACTCATTCATTCATTCATTCAAGGTTGTATTAATTGGTGGAGGGGAATCAAGGAAGGATTCTTGCAGGGGGAGGTTGGCGCTCAGAGCATCACATGGTTATAGATTGCAAGCTTAGAAGATATGTCCAATGGCTTCATTTATGTAGGAGGAAACTGAGGTAAACAGGTTAAGTGACTGGCCCAAGGTCACCCAGCTAATAAATGTCTGAGGCAGGATTCCACACCAGGTCTTCCAGACCTTGAGTTCAGTGCTCTATCTACTACCCGGCTCTGTCTCATAAACAGCAGCACCTCCTTCGAAGTGGAATCAATCACTGACCAGATTTCAAAGGAAATCTGGCAAGGTTAAAAGTGTACCTGTGCCACGTCCAAAGACGCACCCAAACATCACAGAACCTGCTCCAGGGTCTTGTCTGACCCCCACTCCCATTCTCTCTCCTTATTCATTCGGACAGTTGTATTCCCCATCTCCAGCTAACTTTGCCCAAGTCTTTCCTACCCAAGGGGATTGTGGGAGATTAATGGCTCTTCCCAGAGACAGGGAAACCAATTTATCCTCTACTGGAGCTGGGGTCCTTTCATTTCTTATGCCGGCCCCAGCCTCCATCCCTCCCTCTCGCCTTGGCCACCTTCCTCTGGTCAGAAGTCGCCTTGCATCTGGGTGATGAATGTACAGGGCTCATCTGCAGCCCTCTGTGAAGCAAACAGGGGATACGTGCCATAACATGGGAAGTCAGAAGACCTGAGTTTGAGTTTTCCCACTGTTATCTGCTAACTGTGACCCTGGGCAAGTGACTTTAACCTGTCTGGGTCTCAGTTTCCTCTTCTGTAAAATGAGGGGGTTGCATTCGACGTCCCCTAAGATTCCTTCTAGCTCTAAACCCTTGATGCTAAATAGAACTGTGACCCGCAGGAGCCAGAACGTCTTCCTTTCAGCCAATGTGCTGCCTCTTCCCTTCCTGGCCCATCTTGTGGGCTCCCAAGCTTGTCTCTGAGCGTTGAATAACAGTCAGTAGTCAAGAGATCTTGCCAGGAGAGCTGCTCATCAATTGATCCACAAGCATTTAAACACTAGACGTCCAACTGCAACAGTGAGACAGTGTCTGCCCTCAGGGCGCTTACAGTCTACCATAAAGATACCAAAAGAAGGCACAATACGCCTCTGGGTTTGGGTGCCCATGTGTCTAGGAGTGGGGAGATGTGTTCTGAAGTGTGTAAACATGTGTAGGAATGTGTGCCTTCTCCTGGACGTGGGTGTTTGTGAATAGGTGCGTGGTGATCTGCTCTGGTAGGCTCCCAGCCCTGCAAACAAGCCAGCTTTAGGTTGAGTCCAGCAGCAGCAGCAGCAGCAGCAGCAGCCGCCCAGCAGCCCAGCACCGAGGGTTGGGTTTCCCTCTCACCTCCTGGGGGTGCTGTCCCTCTCTATCACTCTCACTCTGGCTGGCTGACTGAGTTGTAAGTGATCAGCCACTCAGAGAGGTTTCCTGCAAGCCAGGACAGCTGTCCCGGCCGCTGTCAGCTAAGTTCTCGGGCTGCTGTGGCTCAGGGTTCCGTGTGTGGGAGGCTCTGGACAGTCCTCACTCCCTCCGCCAGAGCGAAGCTCACTTTGAAGTCCCCCAAGATGGATTTGCATCCAGGGGCTGCCCTTGGACACTGGGGTCCCCTGCTCCTTGTTCTCTTCCTGGCTTCCTCCAGAGGTAAGCTCCCGATCTTTTCCTTGTCCCCATCACGAAAGAGAAACCCACCCTTGGCTCCTCCTCAGAACTGGGCACAGCTGGGAATGACGAGGCCGGAGGGAGAGGACCAGCTTGGGGCTGACTTTTCCCTGAAGCGGGGTCTCAATCGCATTCCTCCTGAATCTTTTGCCCAATAATAAAGTCTGAGGAAGGCTGAGCCTGGAGTAGTGATGGGCTGGGACAGGGAGATTAGCTGTCAGGCTGGGTCTTGCCTGGCAAGAGGGAGGAAGCTCTGGATCTCGGCTATGTAGGGTGGGGTTTAGGGTTTGGTTTTGTTTTGTTTTGCCCAAACCAAGGACAAGATGTTGACAACCTAAAGAGAAACCTTGTTATTGCAAGTTTGGGAAGGAGGGGTTTACACGTTTAACCCCTTTTCAGTCTGCAGTGGTTAACCTTGCCATAAGTGGGCAGGGTCCCTAGAATGTCGGGATGTACCGGCGTGGGCCCGCTGGGGGCAGCAGGAGGGAGGGGTCTCCTTGCCCCGAGGTTCTTTAGTAGGGTAGTCTGATTCTGAGGAACGTCATTGCTGGGGATGGTGCCAGTCTGGGAACAGCAGGAACACAGGCCATCTGTACATTGTCAGGGCGGCTTGGTGTGCAAACCCACAGCTGCTACTCGGGATTCCTGTTACTCTGAAGGAATATTCCCCGGGGCTGTGTCCCACCATGAGCATACTTCTGGCTGGGGGGGGGGTGATGCTTGCCTGAGATGAAGACGGAAGTTTCTGGGGTCCAAGCATTATTTGGGTGTGGGAGGACAGGGGAGGAGACTCGGGAAGCTGTCCCTACTTTTTCTCTGTTGTGAGGGAAGTCAGTGACTCAGGGTTGGAGGGGAGGCCAGAAAGACAGCACCCCTGGAAAGAGTCAACTATGGTGTGACTCCAGTGATCTCCATGGGTTCACTAGAAGCAGTGCCCACCCCTCCAGGCCCTTCTTAGTCCAGCTCTCCCTCCCTGCAATGTCAAGCCCTTTATATGCTGCCCGAGTGCTGGGCCCTGGGGGTGGGGGGGAAGCCCTTGGAAGGTGGGATTTCAGCTGCTATTTCCTTTGCATCTCCCCCCTTACCTGACACCTCCCTTATACGCAGACACTGCCCACAGAGAGCACAGTTAGGTGGGGACCAGCTAACCCTATGAAGAGTGTCCCTAGTCACCAAACCTTTTGTGTGACAGGTAAGGAGCCTCTACTTTCTTGTTAGAGACCTCACCGTCCAGGAGGGACAGAGCCTGCCCTGGCTGCAGGGAGCCCTCCAAGAGCCTCAGAGGGGGTGGAAGCCAGACTGGTTGGATTTGAGGGAAGGGGGCAGGGCTGTAGAGAAAGTATGTAGGGAGACCAGGTACCACCCCAGAAATGGCCTCACATACTCCACTCTGAAGGCAGCCTCTTATCTTCATCCTGAGGAGCCCCAGGCTCTGGGGGCCTCTGATAAGCTGAGTGTTAGGGCCCCCGAGAGCAGGGAGAGGCACAAGGGTAAGGCTGGCAAAGCGGGGAGGCTGCAGCTCACTGACCCAGGGCCCAGGGAGGGAGAGAACGAGAGACCCTGCTCCAGGTAAGAGCCGGTGGGTGACAGTGCTGAGGAAAAGAGAGGGAAAGGGAAAAGGCTATGAGTCTCCATACCAAACGGACTGAGAAATTGTGTTTAGGGAGTGCTGGAGGCTTGGGAGAGAGAGTGGGGAGGGGGAAGGGGAGAGGAAAAGGGAAAGGGAGAGAGACAGAGACACAGAGAGAGAGAGAGAGAGAGAGAGAGAGAGAGAGAGAGAGAGAGAGAGAGAGAGAGAGAGAGAGAGAGAGGGAGAGGGAGAGAGAAGAGAAAGAGGGGAAGGGAGGGAGGGAGGAGGGAGAAGGAGGGAAAGGGAGAGGGGGAGGGGAAAGAGGAGAGGAAAAGGGAAAGGGAGAGAGACAGAGACAGAGAGAGAGGGAGGGAGAGAGAAGAGAAAGAGGGGAAGGGAAGAAGGGAGAAGGAGAGAGAAGGAAAGAGGGGAGGGGAAAGAGGAGAGGAAAAGGGAAAGGTAGAGAGAGACAGAGACAGGGAGAGAGGGAGGGAGAGAGAAGAGAAAGAGGGGAAGCGAAGGAGGGTGAAGGAGGGAAGAGGAGAGGGAGAGGGGGAGGGGAAAGAGAAGAGGAAAAGGGAAAGGGAGAGAGACAGAGACAAGGAGAGAAGAGAGGGAGAGAGAGTGGGGAGGGGGAAGGGGAGAGGAAAAGGGAGGGAGGGAGGGAGAGAGAAGAAAAAGAAAGGGAGGGAAGGGAGAAGGAGAGAGAAGGAGGGAAGGGGACAGGGAGAGGGGGAGGGGAAAGAGGAGAGGAAAAGGGAAAGGTAGAGAGAGACAGAGAAGGGGAGAGAGGGAAGGAGACAGAAGAGAAAGAAGGGAAGAGAGGGAGAGAGAGAGGGAGGGAAGAAGAGAAAGGGAGAGAGGGAGAGGAAGAGAAAGGAAGGAAGGAAGAAGGGGAGAGAGAGATGGGGGAGGGGAGAGGAAAGGGGAGAGAAGAGCAGAGAAAAAAGGGGGAGAGAGAGAGAGAGAGAGAGAGAGAGAGAGAGAGAGAGAGAGAGAGAGAGAGAGAGAGAGAGAGAGAGAGATTTTACTTTTGGGTGCTATACAATTACAAAAGCACTTTCCCATTCAATATTCATCTGAATCTCACAACAATCCTGTGAAGTAGGCATTGCAGGCTTCACTATGCCCATTTTACAGATGAGGAAACTGAGGCTCATGGGGTTTAAAGGACTTGGCTAAAGACCATGCAGTAAATAAGAAGAACTGAGACTAGACCAGGCCAAACTCCAAGTCTGATGCACTTTATAAATAATAAAAATGTTCCTTTAAGGTTAACAAAGCTGTTTACAAATCTTACTTCATCTGATCCTGGTAACAACCCTGAGAGGGTGCTACTCTTATCTCCATTTTAAAGATGAGGAAATGGAGGTTGAGAGAGGTTTAGACTTCTCCCCCACTGTCACACCGATAGTGTCTGTGGTATCATTTGAACTTGGCTCTTCTTAACTCGGAGCCCAGGGTGCTAACCACTGTAGCACCAACAGTCATCATCCCCCTCTTCTTCTCTCCCTAAAACGATGCCACTGGGTATTTCTTATTCATTCCAGGACACCAAGCTGGGTCACTCTACCCTGTGGCCTTGCCCTCACTCTACAGCTGGGAGACAGCTAGTAAGTTTTTGAGGCTGGATTTGAACTCAGGTCCTTCTGACTCTAAGGCCGGAGTTCTATACACTGTGCAACTTAGCTGCCCCGAGAAGGGCAATTTCTACAGCTGGGGAGACTGAGGCATAGAAAGACCAACCATATGAACTTAAACAATACTTAGCCTGGAGAAGACAAAGATTAGGGCTGGGGCAGGGAGCTCTGGTGTCAGGCTCAGTCCTGCAGAGCAGGAGGGAGGCAGCTTCCTGACTGGGAGTTCCTGATGGGCGCAACGTAATAGTTTCTAGTCCTTAGCTGCTCTCCAGAGAGGCTAGTTAGGAATGCATTGCAAAGTCTGAGCTGTGCTTGTGGTCATGGTGGTGTGGGTGAGGACCCTCCATTCTCCTAAAATCACAGGTTCTTGATGTATTTGTAGGGCTGACATGTGCAAGAGAGATCAGAGTAAAGAAAGACTTCCTGACGATTAGAGCTGTCTGCAAGTTGGCTGGGCTGCCTTGCTCCCTTCACTGGAGACTTTCCTCTGGAGGGCGGGGGTCCTATTCAGGAAGGGCTAGACCAGCTTGAGCTGTGTTCCAATTTTAAGATTTGGGCTTCAGGCTCAGGGCCACAGGCTTCTTACTCACAGCATGAAGGGCCGCATTTGGAGTCAGAGGACCTGGATCTGAATCCTGGTTCAGCTCCTCCTTACCTGTGTAACCCTGGTTAGTGACTTCCTGCCTCTGGGCTCGATTCTCCCCATCTGTAAAATGGAGAGGACTGAATAGGTGATTTCTATATTCTTTTCCTATTTGAGAGTCTGTGATTCCATGATCTTCGTAGGGCTGAGAGGTTTGGATGACCCTTTGAATCCAGCTGTGTGCAGGGAGAATTAGGAGAGTTCCTAATTAGGACAGAATCGGGATAGTTCACAGAGGCTCACCCCATAGCAGAGTCAAGAAATCTGAATTTTCACTCCATCAGAGTCCCCTCCAACCGATCCTAACACCAGGATACTCAAGCAGCTTCTAGTTTCTTATGGTCTCGGCTTAAATAGCCTTGGAGTCCTGGGTTACAAAAACCTTCCTGTCATCTGAGGGTCCATGGTGATGTCTAAATGCCCAAAGGTCCTAGAAGGAGAGGGGGTCTGAGGGAAGCAACCCTCATTTGAGAGTTGGGAGACTTGGATTCTGTTCCCAGCTCTGCTGCTAATTTGTGTCATTGGGAAAATAACCAAATATCCTTGAGCCTCTGTTTTCTCACCTGTAAAATGGGGCTAATACCTCAAACTACACTATGACTATTAAACGAAGAGATAGGAAAAAGCTCTGAAAAATATACAGCACTGTGCAGATATGATGGGGGACCATTAAGTGCTTTTTCTTAGGTTATGGGTTCAATACAATTTAGTTCAATGAGCATGTATTAAGCACCTACTGTATTCAGAGCACTATGGTACTGTGGATACAAAGATAGAAATGAAGATAGTCCCTGCCCTCAAGAAGCTTACATTCACCTGGCAGATAATCCATGAGGTCTGGTACCAACTGCTGTGGGGAAGAGAAGGGCAATTTCTTTTGCAATCAGAGTTAAGTGGCTTGCCCAGGGTCACACAGCTTAAGTCCTTCTGACTCTAAGGCCGGAGTTCTATACACTGTACCACCTAGCTGCCCCGAGAAGGGCAATTTCTACCAGGTCACAGGTCTCGAAAGATGCTGGCATGAGGCGCAGCCTGAGGCTGAACTCTTCTGGGAGAGCCTAGCTGAGAGTATCAAGGGCAGGATCATTGTGAATGCTGATGAGCTCAAGGTGAAGAACATCGAGGCTAGTGGCTGGGTCCGGTGCATGATGAACATGGACGGTCCTGATGGTCGGTCAAGGACTTGGGGCATGTTGGGGGAGCCTCTTTCATTCTCTGAGATGGCAGAACTGTATAACCTGTATCAAACTGCTTGCCAGGGGCAGCTAGGCGGTGTGGTGGATAGAACTCTGGCCTTGGAATCGGGAGGACCTGAGTTCAAATCTGGCTTCAGATACTTGACACTTACTAGCTGTGTGACCCTAGGCAAAGTCATTTAACCCTGATTGCCTCACCAAAAACAACAACAATAAAAAAAAAACCTGCTTGCTTTCTCAATGGGGGTGGGGTAGGGAGAAGATTTGGAACTCAAAGTTTTAAAAATAAATGTTAAAATTGTTTTTACATATAACTGGGGAAAATTTTAAAAATATTTGAGATGGCAGAACCATGCTGGGAAGAGGATGACCACCCTATGGGGTGTGGCTGGGGAGGATATACCGAAGGCAAAGATGTAGGAGGTAGCTCCATGGATAGAATGCAAGACCTGGAGTCAGAAAGACCTGAGTTCAAATCCTGCCCTGGACACTTATTTGCTATGTGAAGCTGGGCAAATGACACCTCTCTCAGTCTTGATTTCCTCATCTATAAAATGGGGATTAAAAATAGCACCTACTTCCCAGGGTTATTGTGATGTAAAATGAGATAATATTTGTAAAGTACTTTGCAAACCATTAAGTGCTATACAAAAGCTAGCTATTATCTATTATTTATGATGCCTGAAGCTCTTTCCCAAACCAAGAAGGGTGGGCAGAGGGGGTTGGTTCAGAGAAATGGAGAACAGTAGGGCCTCTTCTCCATTTTCTGTAGACATAGGTAAAGCTGGAAGACCAAGTCCAAGGAAGGGAAAAAATAGGTTTGTTAATTTGCAGTGGCCACCCTTTCTTATGTAAGTTCCATGAGAACAGAGACTGTCTTTTGCCTTTCTTTGCATCCCTGGTATTGGCACCAGATTTCCATGCAGCAGGTGCTTAATAAATGCTTGTTGACTAATCACAGAATCTCAGGAATGAGAAGGGAATTCAGAGACTATCTAGGCTGGCAGCCCTCTATAACTAACCTGAGAAATGCTTGTCTAGCTTTTGCCTGAAGCCCTCTAGAGAAGGAGAACTCATTACCTCTGGAAGCAGCCCTTTCTATATCTACTCCCCCCCCTTTATTCATTCATTCATTCATTTATCTATTTCTTTTTAGTTTTCAATGTTCACTTCTATAAGATTTTGAGTTCCAAATTTTTCCCCCTTCCTAGGACATCATACAATCTGCTTATCTACTTGTAGTTGTTGGGATAGTTTTCCTGTCATTAAGCCTAGAATTTTGTCTCTGTACCCTTTGCCCGTGGTTCATTGTTCTGCCTTCTGGAGCCAAGCAGAGGAAAGCTAAGCCCTCTTCCAAGGGACAGCCCTTCAAATACTTGAAGAAAGCTGCCATGAATTCCCTACCCAACTCCCTCCCTTTCCACCAAGCCTCCTCTTCTAAAGGCAACCTCCCCAGTTTCTTTAAAGGCTCCTCATACAACGACAATCTCAGGGATCATTCACCACCCAGGCTTGTTCCCTCTGGATGCTTTCTGTAGCTTATCAACATTCTGCCTAAAACATGGCGTCCAGGCCAGAGCGCAATACTTCCCATGCAGCCCAACCAGGGCAGAGCACAGTGGGAATATTTCCAACTCTTTCTAGATGCTATACTTCTCTTCATGTAGACTGAGATTGCATTAGTTTGTTTTGGTTTGGAGGGTGGGGGAAAGGGGAAGCCCTATGTCTTCCCTCTTCAACATTTCAGGTTGCGAAAGCCAGTGGTGCAAGCTTCTGATGCAGTCATGGTTAAGTTACGCAGATCGCTAGGATGGACCACACGGACAAGAGGTAGTAACCCATGTCCTACACCACAGAGGCCTCTTCTTGAGGTCAGGTGACATTTAAATTCTCTTTAATGTTGACAAATATGTGTTATGTGTATTATCTCACTTGCTCCTCACAACAACCCTGGGAGGTGGGTGCTGTTATTATCATTCCTGTTCTACAGATGAGGAAATTGAGGCAGATAGAGGTTCAGTGACTTGCCCTGTATCACAAGGTTAGGAAGTATCTGGGGCTGGATTTGAACCCAGGTCTTCCTAACTCCAAGTCCAGTGCTCTGTGCATGGTGGCACCACTTGGCTAACCTCTAACACAGTTTTAGGAAAGGGACTTTCCTAAAGAAAAGGTCTGATCATGTTATTCTCCTACTCAATAAACTTCAATGGCTCCTATTGACTCTAGGACCAAATATTATTTCATATTCATCTCATCCTTTAAAATGTCTTCTTTTCTGTATTTCATGATGCATATAATTATTAGTATAATAATATAACCAGAGGCGTGTTAATAAATGCTTAACAGTGAGCTCTCTGAAAACACACAGTGCACTTTTAGATTTAATCACAGAGTTAGCTTGTGGCATAGTAAAGGTTCAAATCCAGCCTCAGACACTTCCTGGCTGTGTGACCTTGGGCATGTCACTTAGTGCCCTCTTTGCCTCAGTTTCCTCAATTGTAAAATGAAGATAATACTAGCACCTACCTTCCAGGGGGTTATTAAGATCTAATGAGAGCACAATGCCTGGCCATAGTAGACACTCAAGAAAACAATAAACCAAACCCTGATTTGGTAGCATTTGCTGATTTCTGAGGTGTGAATGCTCATGCTGAAAATTCAACAATCAACAATTTGAGGTGGCTCTAACACACCCTTATATGTTACTCAGACAATATTTGTAAATCTACAAATATTGGAGGTGTCCACTTCAATACATTTCGCTGGTAAGGGTGCCTTACCAAAAAGGGTTGGCAGCCGCTGCCTTAGGCTGCTTGCAATATATTCTCTTGGTATAATCCTAGAATTGTGAATTTCCAAGAGGCCTCAGCGGCCACATATTGTAGTCTGCCCACACCTGATAAAGGGTTACCACTGCAATATAGGAGGCAGGTGGTCACCCAGCCTTTGTTTTCAGATCTCCAGGGAGAGGGAACCTCTACCTTCTGAGCCAGCTGTTTCCACCATTTTCATTGTGAGGAAGTTTTCCCTCCCATCAAGTCTAAACTGGCCCCTTTATACCTTCTGCCCACTATTTCTAGTTCTGACCTTCAGGGTCAAACCCCACAAGTAGAGTTCCTTTTCCATATATGATACCCTTTCAAACACCTCAAGACAGTCATACTGTTCCCCCCACCTTCTCTTCTCTAATCTAAACACTCCCGGTTCCTTCAAATAGTCCTCGTATTGCACAGACTCCAAGCCTTTCACTCTTCTGGTTGCCTTCCTCTGGACAGTCTCCAGTTTATCCCTGCCCTTCCTCATTTGTGATTCCAGAACTGAACCAGATGCTTCAGTTGTTGTCTGACTGAGGTGGAATGGTTATTTCCTTATTCCCGGAGACTCCACTTCTCTTCCTGTAGGCCAAGTTTTCTTGGCTGTTGTATTAAACACTGTAGCCTCCCTGAACTTGCAGTCCCACTAAGACCCCCAGATCTTTTTCAGGCAAGCCACTACATAACTAAGCTTCCCCCATCTTGTGCTTGTGAAGTAGATTTTTTGAACCCAAATGTAGACTTTACATTTATCCTTATTAAATTCCACCTTATTAGATTCAGTGCAATGTTCTAAACCAGAAATTCTTGACCCTTTGTGTGTATGTGTGTGTGTCTAAGACCCTTCTAGCAGTTGAGTGGAGCCTATGGGATGCATTCTCACAATCATGTTTTTAAATGAATCAAGTAAAATATGTAAAATTGCAAAGGAGGCCAATCATGTTGAAGAAAAATATATATTTAGTCTCCATCCAAATTTGCATCCATTGACATTGTTCCATTCCAAGCATCAGCTGTCTCCTTTCTTAGATCCTCCTCTTTTCCCCAATATAGCTTTTTAAAAAAATCCCTATTTGTTGTATTGGCTTTCTTTGCTGGCCCCAGCTCAACCCTGACTTGGAAGTTCTTACATACAGTACTCCACCCCACTTTTGTATTTGTCCTCTGTTACCTGCTCTCACTCTCCTCTTACTTTCAGAATCTAAGTTAAGAATCTGGGAAGTTTTCTGAGTTGGACCTAGTTCCTAGTTCTGCTAGGAAAGAACTACCAGGATAGTTCTCTCTGGAGTAGTCTCCTAGCCTCTGGTGGAACAGGGGATGGTGCTGCAAGGTCTGGGTCCCTGATACTGGGGGCTTATCATTGCCATCCCAGATTATGTATGTCTCTACTCTAATGCCTTATGATGGTGAGGAGGTGCTTCTGGGTTCTCCAAAGCTCTGCCCATGGGTTCTATCAGCAGCTAGAAAGACTTGAAGTCAGTGTTGTTCAATAAGCACTTATAACATATCTACTATGTGTCAGACTCTGTGCTAAGTACTGCAGATACAAAGAAAGGCAAAAGACAGTCCTTGTTCTCAAAGACTGAGTGTCTAGTGACAGACTGGGTGTTTGCTGGTCTTGAAATGTTTGCAGAGGATAGACACCAAGTTGGCCACACCTGGTGAATTTTTTGGGCACAATAGCTCTCCAAGACTATCTACTCACATGTAGTGGGGTGGGAGAATCCCCTGTGATGAACTCATGGCTCCTTGAAACGTTGGAGTTTACAGGTACATAACTATGTGTAGTTACAAAGGCCTTTAAATATGTTCTCACTGGGTTCTTCCAACAATCCTTTGAGATTGGAAGGGATAATCTGGTTACTCCTATTTTACTGATAGAGAAACTGGGATCCAGAGAGCTAGAAGTCTATTCATATAGCTAGAACTCCTGTCTTCTACCTTTAAGTCTGGTGTACTTTTGATTGCATCATACTTCCCCGCAGGTGAGATGAGCCGTGTCTGGAGAGTAAAAGCTGATGTTCAGATTCAACTCTCAGGGGACTGACCCCTTTGTGTCCCGTTGGTGCAGGACAGTGAAGGCTTTCAGGTGGACAAGATATTTAATGGTAGTCTGACATTGTAAGAAAGAAGGCCAGAAGGAGGGCTAGAGGTTGGTAATGGGATCCTTGCTGCCATGAGAACCACCAATATCACCCCCAAGCAATTCATTAATATGGATTTTTTAAAGCGTTGACTGCACCTGGCACCGAGCCATCAATATCACCATCATTGCCAACAATATCACCATCACCATCATCACCATCAGTGATCACCACTTATGTCACCATCACTTTTACTATCATCTCCATTCTCAGGAATTATTAAGCTCCTACTTGGCTCAAGGTATTGGGTGAAGGGAGGCAAATAGATCTGCTCTCTTCCCAGTTGATGCTTCCAATCTAGGAACCCTTCTCAGCAACATGAAACCCAAGTCATCGGCTTCCTGTCCATCTACCTCTCTCCAGGGTCCCTGCTGGCCCTTTCCAACTGCCAGAGCTCTGAAGGCAAGGGCAGGGGGCAAGGAAGGAAGAGATTCCTCTTCCTAGGATCACATATGCTAACTTCTAGAGTTCTGGGGACTGGAAGACATCTCAAGAAGGTGATATGCAAGTGAGGCGGGAAGGCCATTTGTTTTTCTCTTTGTATTATCTGTCAGTAAAATCAGTCACACTATTGTGGGGTGTAGTGACCCCATCTGCCTCACTTTAACTTTAGATAATTGCAATCGGGCAGTCCTATGTGGAAGCAGGGGCCTGGACAAGATGACCTCTCATGGATCCTTCTAACTCTAGGATACTCTGAGCCCCTGAAGCCTTTCCTGGACACAGATAGCCCCGGGCAGCCTCTTCTCTTGGCTCTGTCATCTAGGAAGGGGAACATTTCCCTAAGCAAGCAGGGCTGGCAAGGGGACCCGATAATTTCCATCTCAGCTGGTTCCCTTCTGAGCAGGCCTGTGAGTGTTTTTCTGAGCTGTGCGTGGCCTGGGGTTTTCCAGTTGCTAGAGATCCCACCCAAAGTAAAGAGGATGAATAAACAATCACTGAGTTAGGCTGTGGGACCCTCCCTGCTGCTGGGGCCAACCAGTCATCCAGGGTTCGGTCAGGCCACGGTTAGGGGTGAGGAAGGAAGGGAAGAGAAAGGGGGGAATTGAGCTCTTCCTCAGGGGTCAGGAACCCTTGGCCGCCTGTGTTCTCACTGGCCTGGGCACATGTCCATCTATCTGTTCTTCCTATAGTGAGTTATTGGTGCCTGACGTATTGGGGTGGGGACTCTGGAGCTATCCCGGGCTGGGCTTCATCTGGGGTAATCTGATGGCAACTGAGGAGTGATCTGGGGAGTTGGGGAAGGGGGGTAGGCCCCAGGACCTTCCCTGGAGAGGTCCTTATAGAGAGGCCCTGCAGTCCAGAATCCCACGGCCCCTTTTCCAAGGTGCTGGAAGCTCTGCTTCCTTCAATAGAGTTCGGGCTTCCCTTTCCCTGTCTCCCTCAGGGCCTCTGCTGTGAATGGGGCCCTTCCTGTTGGAGCAGGTATCAATGGACTCGTCTGAGATTCCCTTTGTCCTTGGGCCTCACAGAGCTCCTGATCTAGGGCTCAGATCGAGGTCCCCTGAGGCCCCCTTCCAGAATGCTGCCGGGCCCCAGGGCCGGGCCTGCTTCTTGGACTCGCGTTTATTCTCGGCTGAATTGAGGGCTCTCCGTGGTGGATTTCAGGCTGGGGGAGTCGAGTGAGGTTCGGAGGGGCCTGGGGACAGTGCAGTTGGTTGGTGGTTCTGCTCCCAGAGACAGCATCTAAAGCATCTCTCCCTTGTTCTAAGGTCCTCACTTACCCTGTGAAATGACTTGGTCCGTGTCTCACTCTGAGGAAATGGCAGATCTCAGATGGTAAAGTTCAAACTCATGCCCTTTGACTCTAGGTCCTGCTATCAAAACCCAAATTACATTCCCATTTTACAGATGTGGAAATTGAGGGAGAGTT